AAAGGGCATTTATAAAGGGGTGGGGAAGATTTTTCAAAGATAGATATTTTCACCTTGTTCCCCAGTGGTTACGCCATCGGGCAGCATAAATCAAAGGAGTTATGACAGTTTTTTTTAAAGTGGAGAAGGGGTTGCAGGGTGTTGTGAGTCTGGTCATTATGATATCTTCCTTTTTATTCTTGTCTTTATTTTTCTCTTCTCTTTTTCTTTCCATTTCTTTTCCTCTTCTTTCTCTTTCCCTCAACCTCCCCTATTTCTTTTCTCTTATTACCCAGCCCGGTACGACGGCTTGGTCAACCCGGTAAAAACCGTCAGGGGAGGGGCAGTTTCCCCCTGCCCCCCAGGTAAAAACCGTCAGGGGAGGGGCAGTTTCCCCTCCCCCGCCCCCGCGCCTGTTACGACGCCAATCATCCCCCCAATGAAAAATATTTTTCTACGCCACTGAATGTTTCCTTTTGTCTGTTTGAATTGTTCTATTTTTTATGTAAATTTTTCCTGGTTTTTTTAAAAATGCATTTTTTATTCTTAAATAATCGTTAAATAAAAACCGGCACTCCATAATCACCATCATTATCATCGTAATTGTCAACATCATCACTGGCTATCATTCTTGTAACTTAAACTAGTTCTCCGTGCTAAAGTGACGTATCTAGGAGTATTGACATGGGTGGGAAGCTGATGAGGGATCTGATGGGGTCGTGAAGAAAGCCTAAATTGGGGCTCCATAATTGTGAGGAATTGGAGTGAGGCGAGGCCCCTTATATCTACAGACTGGCTAGCAACACTGTTCACAAACGAACGCCAAAGCACAATAATAATCATTCATTCATTCATCAATCAATTTATCAATTTTAAATTTTATTTAAAAACTTGCATTTTGCAAAAATAAAACACAATTACATGTGATTTGCAAATAAAGAAATAGAAAAAGAACTAGAGGAATAATGTCCATTACAAAACCATCATGAAGCACAATTGAGAGATGCCTATTTTATTCTAACTTAATTTACGGAACATGAGAATGTGACCATTCCAGGCCGTAGCCAGGATAGTCAAAATGAACTAAGTTTTTTTTTGTGATTTCATAGTGAAATTTGTGACTTGAACAGGAACTACAGTAAACTGTATTCAGTTGAGCTGTAGTTTTTGAAAAAGTGTTGTTATGTAGTGTGAAAAAACTGCATCCTACTGGAATGATTTGGGCAGTGTTATTTTAAATATACAGGAACCATGAGAAGTAGCACTGTCCACCTTCTTTATCCCGCTGAATGTACAGTCGGTCAAGGTATAATTCTTAAAAAGAAACGACATTCTAAAATAATAAAAATATATATAAAAATATATATAAAATATATAAATTTCGGCATTTAAGTATCAAGATTAGGTTATATAAATTTTACAAGCTTACAAAATATACAATAATTTACAAATATTAAATGAGAAAGTGTTTACTAATTTGTATAATTCCATCATATTATTATATTATAAACAAAATATATTGTATAATTTATAAAGCAAATTTGCTGTCCCAAAAATTTGATTCTATGGTTAAAGAATAACTTCATGTATTTTCTTAATACCATTATTGCCCTAGGATACGTGCACTGCAGCATTAACTTTATTGAGTGTCATAATGAGTGGCGTAATGGCTATGAGCTCTCACTGGCTAAAGCCAGGGGCCCCGGAGCCTGTCTCTTATACACATCTCTTTAGTCCTGTATTATTTATATGACTTTTGATTTACTTTATGTTAATCTGAATTGTCTTTTTCTTAGCATAAGTCTTTTTTGTGAACTTTACTGTACACTGTATTGTTTTTGACGCACCTTCTATTGAGAAGTGAGCCACTGATTATAAAGTGTAGTTCCTAATAAATTATTATTATCAAAAATGTAGCACTGACAACTATATGCATTTTCTTGCCATTTTAAGACTAGAGAAATTCAACTTTCTAGAGTCATCGTCAGGTATCCAGCACACTCTTATCAGCTGCTGTTGCCGCACGTGTAGCCACCGAAACTGAATGGCAAAAATCGATGAAGCGCTGGTTACGCTTCACTTAACACAGCCAACTGTTGAAAGTAAATCCCATTGAATTCACGATACTACCAAATTACCTAATTAAAGTATCGTTTTGATTTTCAAGAAAATATTCACAACAATAATATACTC